AAATGCTGGGCGTGTACAGTCAGAAAACGTATCATTTCATGGTGAGCAGAGCCTACTGTAGCTCAAGAGAGCCCCACATTTTCATTTTCCATCTCTTTAAAAATGCATTGTCTTCCTCAAATATTGACAGCTCCTCGTGTGGAGACGTGCAAGGAAAACAGTGTGAACTAAACAAAAGGGGAAACCTTCCTTAGAAGTCTGAGAATAGAAGGATCAGCTCAAGTGTCGTCCTTGTCCTTCAGGTACAGAAGTGCACATGGGGTACGAAGCAAATGTGAGGAAGTGTCACATCAAGGAGGGCAGAGCGGTACAGGAAGGAGGTATTTAGAGTAGTCAGTAGGAGTAGAGTAAACGTTGGAAAGCTTTACACTACATGAAATCATCTTTGGAAAAGCATCACAATGTTAAGATTTCAGTATCCACCTCTGTCAAAGAAGGTTATATTAGAACATCTATAATGCGCAGTATACAATCTATTTCTAAGATTCTGTGACTCGTTAGTTGCTTACATATACAACGCTTAGTGTACGCTTACATTTTGTTAAGCTCGTATATACAAATCTCCTTCAAGGAGAACAGAGAGGCAGTAAATAATGCACTCAATACTCTGAAAAGGTCTGCCAGAGTGTGATGGGACACAGAACAGAAACTTTTCATTCCCTTGCGTGAGAAGGCTCCAGAAAGGCATTTCGGATGAGGGAGTTCACAGGTAGAGCCGAGACACCAGTTCAGTTCCTGTCGGCGTGGGACAGGGGAAGACGCGTCCGGCTAGCAGCTGGCTCAGGGGTGTTAGAATGTACGGAGAAGAGCCTAACAGAGATTAGACAACGCACGCTCTGTCAACGGATGCGCGTGGAGCGCGGTGTGAGGGGCCGGCCCTTGGGATATGGTGGATTTTATCCTCAAAGCCACGAAGAGCCAGGGAAAAATTTCACTAAAAGAAGCTACATGGTGACTTTTGGCTTTCAGAAGTGCCACTTTGGATGTGATAAATCAGAGTTGTGTGAGGACAAAGCAGATAAATTCATTAGAAATCTATCAGAAATAATGCAGTTCCTAATACGGTTGATGGCAGTTTGGATAAATAAAAATTAGACAAAAGGCACGAGGGAGGGTTTCTGTTTCTGCAGGTCGCAGCGTGCTTTTGTTAAAGTCTGATGTGCTGAAGCACCTGTGGTTTGCAGTGCACGGAAGAGCAACGCCTGTGACGCCTTGCCTGCGTCCCTACTCCTGTCAGTGCTGGTTCCAGCGCCGGACATCTTGCCCACGTGCCTGGCCCTCTGCGTGGTAGTCCGCAGTCATTTATTCTCACCCAGATTGGAGAGCAGGACTGAGGAGCTGACGTGCGTGAGGGCTACTGCTCTGCTTACTTGAAAATTATTGGTGTGGAATGATTGAATAGAAAACTGAGTTTTGCAGAGTTAATGCTCCAGAAATTAGGTGGGTTTTTTTTTCTCTTCCCAATTGGCTTGGATTATGCAGCTACTTCTCAATTCCTTCAAAGGTATTATTTTGAAATTTTCTCTGAAACGGTCTGTCTCTTAGAAATGAAGCAGACTTGGGGTGATGAGGAGGGTGAGAAATACATGAACCTTAAGCGGGGTTAGGTGAGGAAGCGCGGATGAAAGGTGGGTGAAACAGTAAGCCTGCAAGTCGAGGGCAAGTGCGCCGTCCTCTCGTTGTCGCTGAGTTTCCCGTGGAGTGGTTGTACTGCTGGAAACCTGGACATCCTGTGTTCTGTTACCCGCTTCCTGGTGACCGCGCTGTACCCTGCTTGTTAGTTTAGCTTCCGGGGAATAGTTACTGCGTGTTTCTGTGCGTACAGCCGCAGCAGCCCACATGGATACCTGGAGTGTCAGGTACTCAGTAAACACCTGTTTTAACAAACACAACTCAGTTGCTTATTATCTTTTAAAAGAGTTGGTTAATCTGAAAATGGCCTCTCATACATAGCAGTTTCTTTGCCTTTTGTTAGTGTATGTGTGCAGTACGTCACAGTCACGTTCATTGGTGGGACTGGTACGCAGCTCTGCCGTACCCTCATCATTTCTGACCCCGTTACGCCTTCCCCTGTCTCCATCCTACCCTTTCCCTCTGTTTCATCTCCAGCGTGTCTGCCTTTTTCATGTGCATCTCTTTTGTTTAACTCTTCATGTTTGTGCGTTAGGTTTCTCATGTAACAGAATGTATGACATTTTTAATACTGTGCCTGGCTGACTTCACACTGAATCAGTCCATTTGCATTCCTGTTTTTTATTCTTTAATTTTACTTGTTATTCAGGAATTACCATAAACCTTACCAACGACTTTGCTTTCAGCAGATTCCTACTCATACCTGCGCTCTGCTTAGAGCCCTGCGATGGGTCAGTGGGGTTAAAGCCCTGCCCTGATGCAGAGAGCCCTGTCCGGTGCTCACTGTGACCTAGGAAGTTTACATTTGTAATCCCATGGGAAAGTTATTTGAATTCTAGTGAGTGAATTCCAGTCTACCACTTCTAGTGCAACCGATGGAGGGAATAGACACTAAGGCATATTTGTAGATGCGGGGAGCCAGGGGTTCCTAAGTCCAGCCACAGTGATGGCTGTGGGGAGCAAAGGCCTCGATCCAGAGCCGAACATGGATTTTATTAATTCCTGAAGAAAGGAGTGGCTTGAGGATGAGTGACTCAGAATAGCGGGAAATAGGTGAGTGCTGTGAGCTGGGCTAGGTAGGAGGCCTGAAATCACCTCTGCCATATGCCGAGAGAAGGATCTGCAGAAAGAGTGATCTGCACGACGCAGTTGAGGTGGTATCTAATGCTTTGGGGCCCATGCTTCAGCTCTGATGTGTAACCTTTTAAGCCCCGGGAAGTCAGAGCGCCTATGTGGAGGCTGGATCCCAGCCTGCAGCGTGGGGCACTGGCTGTTCATCCCACCTCCTCCCGGCTCGCACATGGAACGAAGGGGTGTCTAGGGAAACACGGCCTGATGCCTTGGGAGACCACACCAGCACCTCAGCACCACCAATATGCATGGGTTACAGCCGGTTGAAGGGATAAGGGATCGTGCTAGCCAGCTCTGTACATAAGAATACATGGAAATAGGGCCGGGTTCATCCAAAAAGACGATTGCTCCTCCTTCACGGAGAGTGACCCGGGTGGCCCTCCATATCCTGAGGCCTGCTTCAGCAGGGAAGGATTTAATTAGTCACTTCCTCAGGTGTAGGGTGCCCGGCACTGTGTTCTGCCCTCCCCTGCCGTCCAGGCACTCCAGGCTTCCTTGCAGCAGCGCAGCAGGGGAGCTGGCTTCTTGAGGAGCACTTCGTCCCACTGGCATAAAAATGTCTCCCTCAACAGCAGCCCTGGCTGTCTTTGGGCGGTGTCTTCCCCTAACTTCAGACTGGGTTTATTTAACACCAGAATCTTTCTCCAATCACTTACTATTCAAGTTGTGTATGTCGTGGTGTCAAACTTCCAGTTCAGCCTAGAGTGTGTCAGAAAGGAGTTGCTCAGATGTCCAGAGTGCTTTAAGTAAAAACTACGGAAATGCTAATTAGAGTGCCAATGAGAAATTAAAATCTGATTCTGAAACTGTTCACATGGATCACCTGGAAATCTCCCCAGAATGGAGACCTGATGCAGTGAGTTTGGGAGGGGTGCTGACGTCCTGCAGATCACAGAGCAGACTCCCCTTGCTGGCTTTGGGTCACGCTGTAAGTAGCACGACTTGGAATACGCCGCGCATGAGGCACACTGTGCGAGGCTGATCTCAGGGCTGTGTCTGGGGCCCTGTCGGTGCCTCACGAAAGCCTGTCACCTTTGCATTTGCATGTGTGGATACTGCAGCTCTCAGAGCATTAAACTTGTGCTGAAGAGCACTCTACTAGTTGACTGCAAATAGGTGATTGAATCGGCCTGTTGGTGTCCAGATGTGTTATTTTTCTATTACAGAAAGTCTCCTAACCTATCACTCTGAACAACTGATTGCTGAGGGTGATTAGGATTCAAATCTATAACATCATGAAATTATACATTCACTGGAAATGTCACAGAGGCCATAAAACTAAAACAAATGGTTACATAAAGGAAAAAAAAAAGAAAATGAAAATCAATGGAATTTTACGCATAGTGTGTTGACCAAGAAAGACTTTAATCGATTATTTTTTCCTGTGAATTTTATAAATACTGCAGCAAAAGCTACAATTTCTGAAAGCTGAACTACATATAATCTTAAATTTATCACGAGAGAATTGTGCACTGACCTCAATATTTGAGAGAGTAGTTATATTGTATTTTTATTTTATAGAGTTTAAAATAAGTATTACTTAAATCAGTGGACTTGTTTATGCATTGGAGTGCAATAAACAATATTTTACTATTTCTAAGTGAAACCAATTTTTAGGATTAATTTTAGTGTCATTTGTTCAACATAGATGAACTAAATTCTTTAGAGAACATAATTATCAAAATTGGCACAATGAGAAATAAGGCCTCTTGATGCTCCTGTATTTGTTTCAAAAAGGAAATTGTTTATCAAAGATCTTTCCTTAATGGAAATTTGAGGCTGAGATGGTTTCTTCAGTGAATTATATAAAAAATTTAAAGGACAAATAATACAATTTTTAAAAACTCAGAAAACATTTAACAAATGAGATAAACACTTGTGTATAACCCCATATAAACATGAATAGGTGGCAGAATTAATGAATAATGATAGAAAATAAAGATGATCATCTATTATAGAGTCCCAGGATGAGTACGAAGGTGGGGTGGGAGAGCTTCCAATAGTGAAGGTATTGATTGGGTGGTTGCAAAATGATATACACCTTTTCCATAAGTGTAGGATATACAAATTTTCACAGGTCAAATATCTTTAAGATGAAAATAATAAATAAGCAAGTAAATAAATCCATCCCTGTTTCTTATACCAGTCACTTGCATATCAAATTAATAGATTGATACCAGAATTTTTGGAAAAGATGTTGTTTTTGCACATATCAATTGAATAATAAAAATAGCAACTACTGCTAACACGTTTAATGATGAAATTGTGGTTTACATAAAATCTAGTTTTTTGCCATGATTACTTTGAAGGGGACCATGCGTATTGGGACAGAAGAGTTTCACATGTTTATTTGACTTACTTTGTTATCAGAGCTAAGATTGTGTTTTTCACTCTTCTTTAATCTTTTCATGTTTAAGAATTTTACTTGTTCTTCATTTAAGTGCTGATCTTTCCAGAGTAGGTAGAAAATATGTTACGTTGCCTCTTACTGCATGCTTACTGTGTCTTTCTCCATTGCACTTTGATGCACTGAAGTTGAATCTCCACCATCATATAGTTTTTGCAAAAGACCCATTCCAGTCTTTAGACTCCAGTGTGATTTTCAAAGTTGGTTGAGGGTGCAATTCACTGCCACAAACATTTCTTGAAATTCCATTCTGTGACAGGAAAGGCTTGATGAATTCAAAGGTAAAGAAGGCACATGTCTCAAGGCACAGTGCTCTTACATTACAGTATGTCTGGGGAACTAAGATACTTCTGTGGACCAAAATATTTGCAGTGTTGGAAAAGGAAGTAGCATTTAAAGTACAGTAAAGACACTAATTTTCTTGCTGTGTAACATGATGTACACATAAAAACAAAAACTAAATCCTCTCAGTCTATGTTCAGAACAAACACTTTTATATGTAGGAGAGAGAGATGGAAAATCAGTTATAGATTCTAAATCCTCATGAATTTTTCATTAATTTTACAACATCTCTAGCAACGTACCAGTAAAAAGGAAATTTGTTCTGTTTCTTTAATAATATCCTTGAAAATCATGTTTTTTCTCTAACCAAATTGATAAAATTATCTTAACTTAGTCAGTCAAGTGTCTAAACATTTATGATTTGTGTATTTCCCTGATACGAATCTGAAATAAGGTAATATCATTTTTAGTATACATAAACAGGGAGTTTTAAAAGCATATATACAAGTAACTAGAAGAGAAATTGGATCAAAAACATATTAAGCAATTGATCAAAATAGAAGTTGTGTAGATACTATTTTTTAATTTTAGATCTGTCTTAAGGAAAAGTAGATTTATGTTTGGTCATAATCTACATTTGGAAATAAATGTTGGTAAAACAAATCAAAGGGAACATAAAATTGAAAAGAACATTTCAATCTGAGTCTAGCTCAAAGCTATGAAAATATAAAAGCAAAATTGCAGTAATATTCCCTCTTCCATTACCAAAGGAACCTTTCTTGTTTCCTATCTCCTATAAATATTATTTACTTAACAGCTTTATTATCTTCATTTTATTTAATGCATACTGACAACTATTCAGGGAATTGTCATAAAATACTGTATGATCAGAAAGTAAAATTCTGGTTAAGGAATGAAAGTGTACTGGGACAGTATATTTGTTCATAAATTTAAGATTGATGTTTTGTGCATAAGGTATTTGCTTTGAAGAGTTTTCTATATCCACCTTCCCAAAATTAAAACGAAATAAGTACAATCGTTAAGAGGAACTGTTGCAACAAAACTTATGAGTTCTGACTTCTGATGTATTGGCATTGGAATTACATAACATGTCATTTAGTGAACTATAACTGTCATATACTTGACTTTAATTATATGATTTGGTTTTTTTTGTTGTTTGTTTTCTTTTCCAGTACCGGGAATCGAACTCAACAATGTCATGCTTGCCAGGCAGGCTAAATCCTCAGCCCCTAATTATAGGATTTGGATCAGCTTACTTATTTAAAATAAAGAGTAATTGAGAACAAGTTTTCCTTTAGCAGAAAATGTGTTTACTTAACATCCCCAAATATATAGATAAGAAATTATTAAATAAATTCACACATACACATTCTTTTTTTAAAGAGTAATAAATGATAGATAAAATTTGAATATTTCAAATAATAATCTTAGTTAATCCAACTTCCCAAGCATAATATATACATCGAGTTTTAAAAATAGATTGTTATCTCACTGCCATTAGATGGACATATTTTCAAATTTAAAAAGGAATTTTGATTCTGCTGTAGAATGATGCATGACTTACAGAAAATTATTCTGATATTTTCCAAGAAAGATGCAGCATTTAGTTTGTTTTGTACTTAGAACACCAATCTTGTTCATGAGGAGCTCCTCAGAGGGTGTATAAGAGATTAAGGAAGGAAAGAGAAAAAGAGTATTTTCTGTATTAATTTCTGTATTTCTGTATTAATCAGGGAAAAATAGCTCAGGGATTGGAAGTTATAGCCCCCGCTGTGTTTTTTTAACTGCTTTAAACTGTCTGTAATTTCCTCCTCTTCCCTAAGTATTGATTACTTTGTTATTTCCTTGTTTTCAACCGAACAAGTCATGCATTTTTCACACATCACCGGTTAGAACTGAGTCACCTGCGGCTGTGCTGCCCGTGTGCAGTTTGTTTGCCTGTGGCTCGCCGGAGATAGGGTGAGCTGCGCGAGTACCTTGCATTCCCTGAAAACCTAAGTGATGGCGCTGAGTTTGTGGAGTCCTCCGTGGCATACCTGAGCCTCACATTCAGGGATTTTGAAGAAAGCATTGGGATATTTTGCTGCTTTCACACCGTTACCGTAGGTTTAACAAATGATCAAAATTTAAAATAAAAGTTATTTGATATATTGTGCCGGGGCAAAAAGTAATTGCAGCACAGTGCTACTGGCCTTTTTATAGTACAGGCAGTGATGATTTTCTTTTTACTAAAACACTAGGCTGTGTATCTTCAATAACACTACTGCAGACAAATAGTTATTTATGATGATAGTTTCCAAACAGTGAATAAGACTCCATGGATTCTGGGAGCATTTAGTTTGTTTATCTCAGTGATCCTTGGATATATATATATATATATATATATATATATATATATATATATATATATTTTAAAAATCTCTAATTTTGGAACTCAAAATTCGGATGATCAAATTCTTATGTGTAATTTTGGTGATAATGCTACGTGGGAACTGTGGAATGTAAACATTGTCAAAGTGTCCCCAAGCTTGATCTTTTGTTTTAGTAAAACTTCAATGTGTTTTCTGTTTGTCTTCACTAATATAACTGCAACTTTAATTCAGTTGTCAACTGGTGATTTACAAATGATCCTTACTTATAAAAGTAAACAGTAAAGTGGATGTTAATATTGTTTTTATTCCAGTTTTCTTACTAAGTTCATGCCTACTTAGTGACTCCCAACCACATACATTTTTGGTTCTTAAGAGAGAAAAAAAGTTGTGGATGAGTAACTGACTTTTAAATTTTATCTCATCGTGAGCATACTCCTTCAAGAAAGAAATATGGAATTGCAGTTTTAATTCTGATTAACTATAATTTGTGTGCCCGTAAATTTAGGTAAGACTATGTTCTTCCATGTTTTTGGAGAATTTCTGTTCAGAGAATCTGTTTCTTACATCCTGAGCTCCAGGAAAATAGAATGTTGAGGAGCCAGATAAACAGGTATATTCCTAATACTCACTCTGACGACAAAAATTAAATTATTTAATAAAGAGGAAATACTGTATAAATATTTCCTAAATGTTCTTCCGACTCGATCCAGATAGATAGATAACACAGACAATACATACAAAATTGGAGTGTGGTGTCTATAATATAGACATCACAGTTTTAGATTTTATGGTTGGAAAAAAAAGTGAAACAGTGTACAGTGACCATAGTACCTATCCCAAGAATCAGAAAGTTTAAAATGAGTAGCTTCTTGCAAATTCTAGACTATGTTCCTTGACAGTATAAATGACCTCACAATTTAATTGAAGAGCAAATACAGAATACAAATGTTTTGATGTATTTATTGCCTACTTTCCCATATTAATTTATGAGAGTTCTTTCCTTCCTGGAAGTTATCCTTGAGCAGAATATATTAACTTCAGGTCCTTGAAGTTGTTATCCTGTTTCACACTTCTCTGCCTTTGCATATCCTATCTTTTCTGGCCGTAAAGCCCTCAATCGCCCTTGCCAACGTGGCGAACTCCAGCTCGTCCTTTCAGATGTAGCTCAGAGGTTCTGACTGCTTCCAGACAGATCAGACTCTTACCTCTTTTCTGCCACCACTGCCCCGAACATACCTGCATCCCAGCCTTTGCAGAAATGAACAGGTTGCTTTACTCAATTTCGGTTTCTTCTCGCCTGGAGCTGTTCCTGCACAGGAAGGGAGCACTGTTATGCTGTATATCCTCCGTTGCTATTGTTGGTCCTGAGACGTACATGCTGAACGATGCAAAGCAAATAACACAGTTACTTTCTAAAACACTAGATAAATATTTTACTTTATGTTACATTATGCATTAGTGCTCATACGTGTTGTGAAAATTCGTAGAGGGCGGAGAAAATCAAAGGCGGTTGCATGCATCCTAAAATTATGTAGGCGGTGGATTTCAAGTTCTTCTAGGCATGTTTTAAAGGAAACCTGAAGCATTGCGGTGAAGGGAGCGTGATGACTGACAGGGGCGGGAATGCCGTATCCTGTTACGTACTTCCTGTGACGTTCCTGGCAGCGAATAGCCACCGGGAGAGTGTTCGTCAGGGCGGCGTAGCTGCAACATTGAGGTTCGTTTCATCCTGCTGGCCTTCCAGTCACTTCGTACGTATGACACAGTGTTACGGCTCATTGCGTCAGGTGCTGTCAGCGGAAGGGAATGGTTTTCCCATTGCTTTTTCCCTTCATGGTGAAGTACGATTTGCAGACTTACCTCAGCAGAACTCCCTTAACTGACGTGGGCAGGGTACAACTGTCATCAGATTTGGAACGTGATTAACATAACCAGCAATTTTCATATGTATTTTACGTCACACTGCAAGGGGTTAGGATTCTGTGAAAAGAACAAAGCAGAAGAGACCACTATTTAATGTCAGCCAGCGGTTTCTTTACCAGTACTTTGAGAAAAATAGAAGTTCTAAGCATGTTGGGAAGAGTTTAGATAGCCGTGGAGAAGTCATGCAACAGGAAGTAAGAACGCTTTGAATATAGTGGAAACAAGCCTAGTTTTGACACAGGCCGATTTTCTTTGGAGACAGCTGCACCTTTAGGATTTGCTACAAGCTGTTCTAAGCTATTAGGAAATCAGTATTCTTTGTATGTGTATCTGTGCGCATATATTTCTCAATGCTGTGGAGTACATCGTGAAACAGAAATTATTTTCCAAATGTATATGCAGTCCTTTGAAGTGTAAATATAAATGCGTGTAATTGTTTTTAGGTATTTCCAAACAAAACAGTCCGTTGCACTTTGCCTTTCCAACGACTCTAACATGTTCTTTTTCATTTCTCAATAAAATGGAAAGGCTGACTTTTCAAAGAAATAAATCTCTTTCTTGCTATCTTCAATGCGTTTAGTGCTTTTTATTGAGTGCAGACCTTGAGAATTAACTGTGAAGGTACGGCCTCATTCATTTAACAAAGAAATATCCTTACTTCAGGAAACGTAAAGCATCGCGAGAAATGGAGAAAACATGTCTCCGTTTCTTCCATCCAAGCTCGCAGGATTTAATGACGCTCCCTACATTTGTCCAGGAAACTATGTCCCCTTCATTTTCATTGTTTCAATTAATCTGTAGCCAAAGGAAAATGCAGGAGACGCGTTTCTCAGAAGTTCCGACATCGTATCTACACGGTGATCTCAGGATGACATCATACCTTATTGATCCTTCTCACAGCAGACTGAGCGCAGCCACTCTCAGGTGCTGCGCTGGGGCTTTCAGTCCGTTTGCACTTGCTGAGAAATTGTACCCGTTTTAAAAACCAAGTTTCCGTAAAGTTTTCAGTGAACTTCTGTGTTCAGAAAGTCAGTAAACACAAAAGTATTTTTAAAAAATGTATGAGGTTCAACATGAAAATTATTACACTAAGTCAGTCGGTTTGGAAGTAGGTGGTGTTATCAATTACAAAGGAATTGTTTTCGATTGAACAGTTTGAGATGAATAATTGTTATCTTACAAAGCCAGTCTCTTTTCCTTTCTTTTCTTTCTTTGTCATACATCCAAATTCATTCATTTGTTTATATAAATTTTATATATATGAATTTATTTGTTTATATAAATTTTGAGTACAGGTCTTGCTAAATTGCTCAGGTCGTGTTTAAATTTACAATCCTTGACTCAGCCTCCTAGAATACTGGCGTTGGAGTTAAAAGCCGTCACACTCAGCTACCAATGCCTGCTTTCGTAACCAGCATTTATAATATCAATTTTATTAAGCAGAAATGAAACTTATAGATAATACAACCTAGTCACCCACACAGCTTCTTAAAAATCACTACAGTGAAATAACGGCAATAAGCACTAAGTGAGTGCCTCTGAGCGTTCGTTTCGATCTGTCGCTGTTCAGCGAGCTTGCGGGAGGTAGTGGAGGGGTCACGTGCTTGCTTCTGCACACACCGTGGCACAGGCCCACACGGATGCTGCTAACGCTTGTCACCCCAGGGCGTCTCACCGCAGACGCGCTCAGGATGGGACTGTAGGGAGAACCACTGCTCTATACTGAGAAATCGTGTTTTTAGTTTTTAATTAATTAATTAACTTCACTTTAAATCTCCCTGTGTAGTCCAGGCTGGCCCGGAACTAACTATGTAACTCAAAATGGCTTTGAATTGCTGGTGCTCCTCCTGTCTCAGCTTCCTGCGTGCTGGGATTACAGGCACAAGCCACTATGCTTGGTGAAAATTGTTTGTAGTGAAAGAAATGAAGTCATCTTGGACGGGACAAAGAAAAACAAAAAGAAAAGCCGGGTTGCAGGTATAGCTCAGCGGCACAAGCGCCTGGCAAGCGCAAGCTGGTGAGTTCGATTCCCGGTACCAAACAAACAAAAAAAAGCCTTTAACTTGTGTTCCTTGATTACTTGGTCTGTGGATTTAGGATTGGTCTCTCTTTTATTTACGTGAAATACGTACTTCCAAGTGTTTTTCCCAAAGAAATGTAGGGCATTTATATCTAGAATGCACTGTATGGATGGACGTAGAAATTGCGTAGTGCGTAAATGCAGAGTAAATGTTGTACCCTGTTAAATTAGGGCTGTGGCAGGCGCAGCGGGGCGCTGTGCAGCAGGCCCTCGTATTTCACCGCCTCGTAATCTGCGCTGTCTTGAGGGTTTAATGCAGTCCTTCAGGGCATTATTCTCTTCTCCAAACATCAGATGCCAGCACGAGAGCGACTTGGGCTGGTCCTCAGAGTTCTTCAGAGCCTTGTTGAAGTCTTCCCACCTTCTGCGCTGCCAACCAGTGTGACGACATAGTGCGTGTTTAAGACGTGTCACAGGTAGGCTGACAGCAGCGGACGCCTCGCGGTTAGAGCCCTGCCCAGCCCCCCGCACTCCTGTCCCGCCCGTCTGCCGCAGCTGGCCCTGCCGCCCGACTGCCCGTCCTGCTGCCGCCGCTCGGAACGTCGGCCCGCCGCGCTGCTTTTCGCTCGGGGGAGAAGCCCAGGAGCCACAGCCAGGTCCGGAGGGGCGTGTGCGTGCAAACGGGGTGTGCGGGCGGGCACGCAGCGGCGGCGTTCGCCGTGCCAACCTTGGTAAGCACAGCCCTGAAAGTACCGCGAGCCGCTTGGGAAAGTGGCCGCGCAGGGGGTGTGTGCGCAGAGGAGGGTTTGGGGGATCAACAGAAGCGTGTGTTGCTGCAGTACATTTTTAAAACCTCACACATTGCGTGTGCCCTTCGATCACACGTCCCGGGCGGCCAAGCGGAGCCGCGCGTGCAATGCCCGCGACAGGCCGCAGCGTGCACGCCTGTTCCCGAGAGTCAGAGCCCTGGGCGCAGTCCGCCTGCTGGCCTGGCGCTCCTGCTGCGCTCTGCCCCCCGCTCCTCCTCACAGGTACCTGCTCTCGCTTACTGCAAATTCCGTCTGATTCCGAGCAATTTCAGGGACGCTGTTGGCACGGTTATTTTTGATGTTTTCCAGAGCATACATCAATGTCGGTGAGCTGAACTGCCCCAGGGAGTTGTTCTGCTCCGAAAAGTTCCCATTGCTGACACAGAGCATAGCCTTGTGTGTGGCTGGGCCTCACGTGAAAATGCATCGATTAAATCCGCGACTAACGCAAATAACATGTATGTCTTCCTGTCTACTGTTAACTTTTTAAAAAAACTACACCTTTATGTGTTATATTTTCCTGATGGCTGAGTTTTCCCCATGAAATTCATCACTATATTTTTAGTATTTTTTAAAGATCTATTGGCTTCTACTTCTAAATATTCCTTTTCATCATAAATGTATTTACCTTTTTCAGTTCTCCCAGAAAATTCTTACGATTTTTCTACTGAGTTGGAGATACTATATTAATAGTCAATTTCAGTCTTATTTTTAGGAAGTATTGCGTTAAAGACTTGCGCTTTCTGCAAGAGCTTCCTGTTTCCTGTTTCCCATTATTTGACAGAAAACTTTCTAAATTCTTCCTCCAAAGATAATTATCCAAATTATTAATACAGTGTATCTCTGATTTCTTTGTCTAACGCTTATCTGGTTATTATAATTTTTTGGCTAATAAAGCAGAATTACAATTACCGCAGAGTTTATTCTTTAACTTCACATTTGTCAACTCGGAAAGGTGAGTGGCTAAGAAAAATTACACAGTCAAGGTTCCACAAGTAAACAGTATTTTTTGTCACTGTCATTAAGTCAAATATTGATTCAGAATTGTATTACAGTACAAGTTCCTGAGTTTCACTTTCATTTATAAAAGTTTGAATACTTTATAATAAACTGAATTTAGTAACACTGTCTTCCTAGCAATTTGTAAGTTTTTATAAGAGTCATCAAAAGGACATTCACTTATTCAATAATTTAAAATATGTTAAGTAGAATTAGCATAATTTTCTTATTTTGGAATACTGTTTGAATGTGAGAACATTTCATAAGCTTATGTTGATATTTATTTTAAAATATTTGTTTAAAACATTCCTAAATTTCCTTGTATTTATATGTGTATTTTAATTGTCTTAATGTCCCTGATAATTATATAGGATAGGTATTCTTTCCTTCTACTGACAGAAGAATTGAGGACCCAAGTTTAAGAAATTTCGAGGTGTGGTAATATACATTTAAAAGTCAGCACTTTGGGAGACTGAGACAGGAGGATAACAAGTTGGAGCCCAGCTCAACTTGGGCAAGGTCCTGTCTCAAAATAAACAAAGTTTTGGGGATATAGCTCAGTGAAAAGGCCCTGGGTTCATTCGTCAGTGGAAAACAGTAAATAAATAAAATGCCCAAAGTCAGAAAGGGAAAAACAAAATCAAAAATCCAGGTAGAAAATATTGTCTCAAATATTTCTCCTGATTTTTGTCTGTTTGTTTTGAGACGGTCTTGCTATGTATTCCAGGCTGGGCTTGAAATCACTGTGTAACACAGGCTGGCCTTAAACTCATGGAGAACCTCCTGCCTCTGCCTTCTGAGAACTGGAATGGCAGGTGTTCATCACACACCCAGCTATCCTGATTATTCGGTAGCAATTCAAAATAGTTTGACTCTGCTGATCATCATCACTCATTATGTAATACTGTTTTCTAAAAATTTTTAAAAATTTTAATTGATTTTACTTAACCATATATAAATAAGTAATTTTTTAAATCAAATTTAGTAACTTTCTATTTACTTGTTAAAAGTAGGTGAAAAAAAAAGTGGATGAGATATACAATTTTAAGTACAACCACACACATAGGAAGGACAGTATTTGTTAAATCCAAATTTGAAGCACAGATATAAATGCTATCAGACCAAGGAGAGCAGAGATGATTGTGTTAAAAATTATGATTGAAGAGAGGGAAGGAAAGTGTTAATGTATCAGGGTAATCATGCACTGATTCATGCAGGAACGTGTGTAGTTCTGAAGTACAGTGAAGTCACTGGCATGGAATGAGTTTGTGGATGAAAGCTCCGTAAACGAGGGGTCCAGTAAGAATTTGAGATTTTAGTTGTAATCTACTAAGATCATAGGGTTATAGCAGTAATAATGGCAAAGATCCCAAAATGATTACCTTGTGCCAGATGCATTTGCCATGATTTACAGATACGAAGAGATTCCATTGCCGTGTGAGCGTGGTATGGTATTGTTCACACATGAAGAAAAGGGAGGCCCAGAGAGTTTGAGGTGTCCGAGGTCACAGAATAAGTGGTGAAACTTGATTTTAAGGCCAGCGGATCTGCTCCCAAAGACTTTGCTCTTTCCCGCTATGGTAGAAAAGAAGAGAAAAAAGAGATTTAATGCAGTTTAAAGGTTTGCACTGAGATAATGCCAAGCACTTAGAATATAGTATTTCTAAGTTTCACAGGAGTCTTCACATTGATCAGAATTCATGCTATCAAAGAAGTATGTGTTGGGGGGGACACCTAGCTTGTAACCTAGAAAATAAATACGAGTTATAGTCAAAATTCAAACTCAGTTACAAAATGTTCAAAATTACATGCTTTGCCTTCTTTACCAGGCATTTCTATGTGTGGTTTTCATGTGGCCTATGCATTTACTTATGAAAATATTGAAAGTAAACACTAAACACAGTGCGAGGTGCTGAGATTATTGGGCTTTGGGGCCAGAGACGAGCATCGAAAAACTTGCACAGCAGCAGCCGAGAGTGAAAGGGACGCCTAACCTTCACAGCTCTGTTGCAGCTTTTACCGCAGTCAGATGCCAGCGTCACACACGTGTTCAGGACCTCCTCACTGCTACTCTTGGGTCTCTTTGCAGACAGGGTACGGAGGGTGCCTTTACCTTTTCCAATAATAAATACAGTTCCGTGCAGACAGTTAGCTGCTACATAAATAGTAACAGAGTTGAATTCAATGCAGTGTTGTCTTAACATACATCATAGCCATACCTGCTATCCAAGGGTGAATAAAAACAGAGTAGTCTATTGCAATTCAAAAAAAAGGATGCTTGTATTTCTTAAGGTTTACTTTTCTTCCTGACCAGATCGAACTTCAAGGTCATGGGAACTTCAAGGTCATGTGGTCTGTGCATGCAGGCTCCCTGCTCGCAAGGCCCAATGCATTGTTATTGGTGAGCTTTCACCATCTTGAAATTCTTGATAAGTTTTGTGCTGTGAGCCCTCATTTTCACCCTGAACAAGCCCCTACAAATTACGTACTAGTCCTGCTCACTGCTGTGTGCCCAGAATCCTGTGGGTGTTGGGAATGCACTGTGGAAGGAGAAGGGCACAAAGCAGATTTTCAGGGAATGCTGAACTGGGAGATTCGTTGCATCTTCTTCACCACAAGCAAACCTTGAGTTCCCCTAGTGTTCTCCCACTTGTGCTGGATCCGGGTCATTTGTGTCTTTGTGGGTGCCGGGTCATTTGTGTCTTGGTAATGGGGTGACTTCGGAGAGCAGCCGTGGTTGTTCCGGTGATTGACAGATGCACCGATAGCTTACTGGGGGGAATGCTGTTCTTACATAGCCTTTTACATTGTTCCCTTGGCCTCAGCATCAAGTTTGTGGTCTTTAGAAGAAAGTGAAGACCCGAGATTGTCTTCACTTGTTAGATGACGGAGCGAAAATGTGCATGTTGAGAAGGAATGCTGATTCTGTCGAAGGATGCGGCTTGTAAGTTAAGTTCAGCAAAGGTTAATGAAATGCTGAAGGTGGGAGAAATGCGGTAGTAGCAGTTGCTGCAGAAGGCAAGCTAGGAAAAGAACAGCTGTGTATGAAAACAAAAAATTTACAGCATATATATCAGGGTTGGAAGACTGTGGACCCCTGAACTGAACCGCTAAGAACTGGGGAAGATGAAGAAGCCCCACTGACAGCACAGCGGAATGGAAGCTGAAGAAGGAAGTTAGAACGAGGCGCTGAATTCAGCTATGTGCTCATCTAAGATGTTTATTATCATTTAAGAAATTTTCCTTGAAGTAAAGCAAATAATTATCAATTCTCTACACAATTTCAGATTTAGAGCTTATTATTAATATACAAAAGAAATGCGTGATGCAGCCAGATGTGGTGTTGCACACCTGTATTCCTAGCATCCTTTGAGGTTGAGTTGGGAGGATGTTAAGTCCAAGTCCGGCTTAGGTAACTTGGTAACGTAGCGACATCCTGACTCAAAATAAAACTACTAGTAATTAAATGGCTAGGATGTATGCTGCAGTGTGAGGCTTTGGGTTTGTTCACCAGTGCTATCAACAAACAAAAAAAGTGAGATGGAAGAGTATAGTGATGCTTAAATTATAAATAAATACTACAATAAAGACACATTGCCGTTAATCCCCCCTCAAAACATGCCCCCTTCTACCATTCTTGCTTCTTCCTGAAGCAGTTCAGGAAGTCCTCTTTCCTGAGTGTTAGCTTTGAAGTTAGTTTTAAAATAGATCATAACAAATAAAGGAGTGTGAAGATCATAACAAATAAAGGAAAGGCACCTTGCCTCGGGAGCCACACTGCAGGACAGTGGCCGCTGGGGAGGGGTCAAAGGGAGGGGCTCTGGGCAGTGCTGACCGGCACCCCAGGCTGAGAGTCCTGCTGTTGCTTTGGTAAATCTTTCGTTTATTTATCTCTGGTTCTTAGTGTGTGACTGTTTAATGTA